AGCCGCTGCTTGCCATTTTCTACCTTATGTTCCCCAGGTAAAAGTTTCCAAATAATTCTTTAATGAAAAAAATATTTGGCCAAAATAATTGGAAACAGGCATTCAAATACTTGTACGTGAACTTCATAGTAGCCCTATTCACAATAGTCAAAAAGTAAATATAACCTAAATATCCATCAATGAATGGATAAACAAAATGTTATGATATATTTTTTTAAAGAGAGAGAGAGAAAGAGAGAGAATTTTAATATTTATTTTTTTGGTTTTCGGAAGACACAACATCTTTGTTTTGTATGTGGTGCTGAGGATCGAACCCTGGCCGCACGCATGCCAGGCGAGTGCGCTACCGCTTGAGCAACATCCTTAGCCCTGTTATGATATATTTACATAATGGAAAATTATTCAGTCATAGAAAGGAGTAAGGTACTGATACATGCTATAATGTGGCTAAATCTCAAAACTGTTATGCTAACTGAAAGAAGCAACACAAAAATTTGCATGTTGTGGGGCTGGGATTGAAGCTCAGCAGCAGAGTGCTCACCTAGCACATGCAAGGCCCTGTGTTTGATTTCAGCACCACATAAAAATAAATAAATAAGAAAATAAAGGTATTGTGTCCAACTACAACTGAAAAATAAAAATTAAAAAAATGTGCATGTTGTATGATTCATTTTATATGAAATATCCAGAATAGCTAATACCATAAAGAATGAAAGCAGCTTAATGGTTGTTAGGAACTGGGAGGGAGCAAGAATGGGCAGGTCTGCTTAGTTAGTATGTCTCCTTTGGTGATGATGAAAATGAAACTAGATAGAGGTGACAGTTGTACAATATTATGAATGTACTAAATGCCACTGGACTTAAGACTTTAAATTGTTAGATTTATGTTATGTGAATTATTTCATTGCAACTAAAAAAAAATTCAGGGGTTAAAACAAATACCTGGAAGGCAAGAGTCATTCTTTCCATGTGCAATTTTTTTCTAAAGATACTAGAACCTGGGCCACGTTCTCCCTTTCCTTACCTGTTGGTATGGAGTTTGAGCTGAGAATTCATAGGCATTAAAATCTGCTCAGGTTGGCACTCTGAAGAGAAAAGTTGGAGTTTTTCAAACACCTATAATGAAAAAATAATGTTTTCCTCATTTCTGGAAAAGATAAATTATGATCTTTACTCACTTGTGGACTTCAGTATAATCTCCAAGGGATTACATGTTAAATAAATGACAACTATAGCCCGGGGTACAGTGGTGCATGCCTATAGTCCCAGCTATTCAGGAGACTGAGGCAGAAAGATTGCAAGTTGAAGCCAACTTGGGCAACTTGGCCAGACTCTATCTCAAAATTTAAAAAAATATATTTTTAAAAATTTTATTTTATGTAGCAAACTCCTGAGTTTCCTTCCCAGTACCCACCCCCCACCCCACAATCTACAAGTCAGCATTATGCCCTACTTTTAATTAATCTAAAAACTTCCACAACACTCCTTTCCAAAATGAGCAGATAATTTAAACATATCTAGGTATTCTAGAATAGACTACTAATATTAGTTGTTTCTGACTCATGGACTGGGCAAGTAGCTAAGTTTACACTTACTGTATCCTCTGTATTTTTAGGTAGAAAATAAATTTGAAATTTCTATTTTAACTCTGGTAACCTGAAATGAGATTTGGGAACAAAGAACCTTTACTAAATTAACAAGAACCTATAATATTAAGTTAGCAAGGCCTTTCCATCCTTTCACAAAGGAAAACCATCCAGTTCTTCCTAGTAAAGAGCTCTCTCCTTATCCCTACATTGAATCATAGAACCAAAGCCCAAATAAAGGGGAAAAGATTTTTTTTAAAAAAAACTTCAAATTCATAAGTAGAGAAACTTACTTGCTCCATATAATGGTAGTTTGTCTTTTTAATTCTAAAAATAGGACAATTTAGCTTTTAGTCTGAGAACATGTGTAGAAACTATTCATACTTTTTTACACTTTACCAGAAGTTAGTACTATATTAATTCTACCAGTGATTATATCTAAATAGCTATATTATAATATTTTTGCTAGAAATGAATCCCTCTCTGGTTATTGTAGTGTTCCTAGAGTGGGAGTTGAAGGGAGTACATGTGCTAAAGTTTCTAATGTTAGGTCTATATAGAAGCAATTAGCAGGAATGATAAAGATCTAGGAATTACAAAATTATTCCAGGGATCCTTCTAGCAATTTTTTTATCCAGATTAAGCACTAATGGATGATAAGAGAACATAACTTTCTTCTTATTTTACATAGAACAAAATTTAGGTTTGAGAGCTTACCAGAATCTGAACTTCATCAGACAGTTCTGACAAATTTCCCTCAAACTGTCCAGAGGAACTGTTTACACATCGAACAGTGACTTTGATACTGGTCCTGCCAGCTGCTTTCGTGTGGACCACCATGGCAAAGTTATTCTCTATTGGAAGCTGTAGGAAAACCTAGACAGTAAAGAAATGGATTAAGAAATACTCATTAGTGGGGCTGGGGTTTTAACTCAGTGGTAGAGCACTTGCCTAACATGTGTGAGGCACTGAGTTTGATCCTCAGCACCACACAAGTAAAATAAAGTTTTATATATATATATATATATATATATTTTTTTTTTTTTTTT